ACTACGACTACGACTACGACTACGACTACGACTACGACTACGACTACGACTACGACTACGACTACTACTACTACTACTACTACTACTACTACTACTACTACTACTACTACTACTACTACTACTACTACTACTACTACTACTACGAAGACTACTACTACTACTACTACTACTACTACTACTACTACTACTACTACGACTACTACTACGACTACTACTACTACTACTACTACTACTACTACTACTACTACTACTACTACTACTACTACTACTACTACTACTACTACTACTACTACTACTACTACTACTACTACTACTACTACTACTACTACTACTACTACTACTACTACTACTACTACTACTACTACTACTACTACTACTACTACTACTACTACTACTACTACTACTACTACTACTACTACTACTACTACTACTACGACTACGACTACGACCACGACCACGACTACGACTACGACTACGACTATACGACGGCTACAACTACGACTATACGACGACTACTACTACTAATACTACTACTACAACTACTACTACTACTACTACTACTACTACTACTACTACTACTACTACTACTACTACTACTACTACTACTACTACTACTACTACTACTACTACTACTATTACTGCTCCTGCTGCTGATGTTGGTGTTGCTGCTGTTGCTGCTGTTGCTGCTGCTGCTGCTGGCCGTCCTCTTCCCATTATCGTCCGACCTATCCCGATTCCAGTAGTCGAAGGTCCCTTAGCGCCACCAGCATACCTTTCGAGGCGGGGATGCCGCGAAACCTAACGGAGGCATGTACCCCCACCTCGGGGGGGGCCAGGCAGGACAGCAGGACAAAGGCTTTCCCAGTGGAAATTGGGGTTAGGTCTAACGATGTGGGCATTCCGTCCTCTCATCCAACTCCTTTTCCACTTGGCGGCACGCACACGGCCAGAGGGGGGTTCTGAGAACCACTCCCGCCTTCTGAGAAGCCTCCGTAGAGGCCTCCGGGCCCTTCTCAGCAGCGCCCTGCCTTCTTGGAAGACCCCCCTCGCGCCAGCCCTTCTAGCTCGCCAACGCCCTGCATCCGGCGGCAGGCCGCTCTCCCAGGCCAGCTCTGCCCTGCACCAGCCCTGGCAGCCGAGCGGGGACCCTCCGCCGCCCTCGCGAAGCTGGCAAGCATGCTGCCAGAGGCAGTCGCAGCAGTGCGTCTGTCCGCCCTGCCCGACGGAGAGGAGGAGGAGGAGGAGGAGGAGGAGGAGGAGGAGGAGGAGGAGGAGGAGGAAGGGGAGGAGAATGAGGAGGAGGAGGATGAGGAGGGGGAGGAGGAGGAGGAGAGGAGGGGGGGGAGGGGGAGGAGGAGGGGGAGGAGGAGGAAGATGGTGAGGAGGAGGGATGAGAGGAGGATAGGAGGAGGAGGAGGAGACGAAGGAACTCCTGGGGGGCACCTCGGGGCCACGGACACCTCGAGCAGCGCCCCGACACCGCCCGGCGCCGCTCCCCCTCGGCGCGCTTGGCGGGAGGCCTCCGGGCCCCGCTCCAGCGGCAGCACGGCGCGCGGTCTCTCGGATCCGAGGGCCGAGGAGCGGTGCACCGTGCATAACTCCTGGGGTCGAGGACGGACGAAGCCGCGGGAGACGCCAGCGCGCCTCGAGGCGCCGCGGCAGCACGGCGCGCGGTCTTTCGGATCCAAGGGCCGAGGAGCGGTGCACCGTGCAGCTCCTGCTCGCCATCGCTCGGACGTCCATTCCCTGTGTTTCTGTGCGGCTTCGTGCGCAGCTTTTTTCGCCAAACGGTCCAGGATGCTCCTCGATGGTCCTCGCCGAAGGACAAATGCACACGTCCGAGCGATGCCAAGCCTGGGGTCGAGGATGGACGAAGCCTCGGGAGACGCCAGCGCGCCACGAGGCGCGCGCGCTGTCTGCGCAGGAGAAGGACGCGTGGAGGCCTACGCAGGTCGTGCTGGGGTCCGCGCTGGACCCCCCTCCCTGGCGCGCGGGGGGGGTCGAGCGCCGCGCGGACCTGCAGCAAATGATCGTCATGTCGTGTGGTGCCCTTTGGCCGCGGGAATCGATAGACGATCAGCGTCCACGCCTGCTGTGCCCCGAGCGTGCCTGCGCTGCAGGTGACGTTCGCCACGCCAGGTGCCCCCTGGTCATTTTTGTTCCGAGGAGCGCCTCCCTTGCTTAGGTTGCGGCTCCAGAGACAGGTCACGCTCAGGCACTTGTGCGACAAGTCCGTACTGCAGGACGGCGTCTTCGACGCAACAACTGGTCACCATGCCCAGGCCAATGAATTCCAGAACAAGTTGGAATGATTACTCCAGACTGTTCAATAAGCAGCCTCCCCATGCCGTTCCGCCCGACGGCCCGTTCCAGCCCGCCTACGCGCGCCGACCCCCCCCCCCCGCGATCCAACCCTCCCACGCCCAGTGCAAGACAGGCCTATTCAACCCCCCCCACGCGATCCACCCCCCACGCTTACAGTAGGGGCCCGACCACGAGAAACCTTCCACAAGAAACCCAACCCTGAGACCCCGGGACGTCCATTGATTTTTGTGCGGGAACGTCGCGCCTTTCACAGCGAAACCCTCGAAACCCGAGAAACACAGGGCATCCTGGAGGCAAGCGGGGTGCTTCTCGGCATGGGCTTCCACTGAATTGAGCCACTCGGAGCTTCCAACGGCGCGCCTCTCGCCCTGGTTACCATAAGCGAGCAAGTGCCCCCTCCGCCTCCCCCTCCTCCTCCTCCCCCTCCTCCTCCTCCTCCTCCTCCTCCTCCTCCTCCTCCTCCTCCCCCTCCTCCTCCTCCCCCTCCTCCTCTTCCTCCTCCTCATCATCCTCCTCCTCCTCCCCCTCCTCACCATCTTCCTCCTCCTCCTCCTCCTCCTCCTCCTCCTCCTCCTCCTCCTCCTCCTCCTACTCCTCCTCCTCCTCCTCCTCCTCCTCCTCCTCCTCCTCCTCCCCCTCCTCCTCCTCCCCCATGACTTCCCTGGCCTTCCTGGCCCGAAACGCCGCAAAAAGCCCCTCTTTTCGGGCCCGCGCTCGTCGCGCCACGGACCGGCTCCAGGAGACGCGTCCCGGGACTGGCCGCCGGGGCCCCGAGGGCGCCGCCGGGAACACCTCTGCGACGCTGCGAAAGAATCGATGATCCTCAGATCGGGGGCAGGAGGGCGGAGGAGGAGGAGGAGGAAAACGAGGAGGAGGAGGAGGAGGAGGAGGAGGAGGAGGAGGAGGAGGAGAGGAGGAGGAGGAGGAGGAGGAGGAGGAGGAGGAGGAGGAGGAGGAGGAGGAGGAAGAAGAGGAGGAGGAGGAGGAGGAGGAGGAGGAGGGGGGCGTCCACGAGGGGGGGGGCGCAGCTCGTGGCCGGCGGCACGTGCGCGGCGGCCCAGCGGGGGGGCCGGGAAGGTAAGGAATAAGAAGAGGCGCCACGAAGTCTGAGGAGACGTCATCGCCCACGCCACGATGTCCGCCCCCCCCCCAGTCAGCACCCCCCTCTTTGCCGCCAACGATCAGAACGTGTGTTGACCCCAACGTGTGTGTTGCCCATCGAGGCCCTTCGATACGACGCAGGCGATGCACTGACCTACTGGTTGGGCTGAAGGGGGTAAGCACGCATTGCGCTGACACGCGTCCTGAGGATCATCGACAGAGTCACGACGGAGAAAATTTCTGCCCGCTTTCGGCATCCGCGGGCCCTTGCCGGGCCCAGGAACCGTGGGGCGAAACGAGAACTGCGACATGTTGCGGCCCTCCGACACCTCAGGAAGAGAAGTTCTGTGTATGTTACGTCTCCATGGGTCTCTCGTCAGGCCTCCCGTCCCCCCTTCATCCTTTCCTTCCTCCCTCCCTCATTCATCCTCCCTCTTCCTGAGCATGGCACCGCCCGACCCGACCCACCCGACCGCTTGAGTAAGGCTCTGCCCGACCCGACCCGACCGCCTAACCAAGCCTCCCGACTTCGGCCTCGCCCGATCCGGCACAGCCGCCCGCTCTGGTCTACCCGCCCGCCCGCCTGACTGAAACCCGCCCGCCCCCCGCAAGGAGAACGAATACCCCGCTCAGAGCAAGGCACGATCGAAGATGAAGGGGACGGGAATCGAGGGGATGGGGTATACCGTATACCTGTTGAACGGCACGCGAACACATAAGAACGAACCGTATGGACATGACGGTTGTCCTCCTCCTCCTCCTCCTCCTCCTCCTCGTCCATATCCTCATACTCATCCTCATCCCCATACGCATCCTCACCCTCATACTCATCCTCATCCTCACCCTCATCCTCATCAGTATCATCATTACCACCAACACCACCATCAGCAACAGCATCAGCATCAGAATCAGCATCCGCATCCGCATCATCATCATCATCATCATCATCATCATCATCATCATCATCATCATCATCATCATCATCATCATCATCATCAGCATCAGCATCAGCATCAGCATCATCATCAATCATCATCATCATCATCATCATCATCATCTCATCATCATCATCAGCATCAGCATCATCATCATCATCATCATCATCATCATCATCATCATCATCATCATCATCATCATCATCACTACCATCATAATCATCATCATCATCATCATCATCATCATCATCATCATCATTATCATCATCATCATAATCATCATCAGCAGCAGCAGCAGCCTCCTCCTCCTCATCGTCATCCTCATCATCCTCATCATCCTCATCATCCTCATCATCCTCATCATCAGCATCATCAGCAGCACCATCATCATCAGCAGCAGCATCATGATCAGCATCATCATCAGCAGCAGCATCATCACCAGCATCATCATCATCAGCATCAGCATCATCATCATCACCGCCACCACCATTGTCATCATCATCAGAATCAGCATCATCATCAGCATCATCATCATCATCATCATCATCATCATCATCGTCATCATCATCATCATAATCAGCATCATCATCATCATCGTCAGCATCATCATCAGCAGCATCATCATCATCAGCAGCAGCATCATCATCATCATCATCATCATCATCATCATCATCATCATCATCATCAGCATCAGCATCATCATCACCGCCACCACCATTGTCATCATCATAATCATCATCATCAGAATCAGCATCATCATCATCAGCATCATCATCATCAGCATCATCATCCCGTTAATCATCATCAACATCATCATAAGCAGCAGCAGCATCAGCATCAGCATCATGCTCATCATCATCATCATCATCATCATCATCATCATCATCGTCATCAGCATCATCATCATAATCAGCATCACCACCACCACCACCATCATCATCATCATCATCATCAGCATCAGCATCATCATCATCATCATCATCATCATCATCATCATCATCATCATCATCATCATAAACAGGCCTCTTGCGCAGAGGCGATCAGTTCCTCTTGAAGTTCAGCCCGCTCGAGCGACGCCATACAGTACGTCGGGTGGACACGGACGTGTGATCGACCCGCAGGCCTCGGCAAGCTCGAAACGGGGATGGAAAGAATGTCTGCGAAAGAGACAACAATATCGATGACACGCCGCCCTGGGGAACCCATCAGCGCGTTAGTGTCGAAGAAACACCTAGCCTTCTGACAAAAACGACAGAGTAACACGCTGACTGGCTCCCAACGGAAGCGTGTCATTGGTACTGTTGTTCCATCCCCTATGTCGAGCGCACGCTGACATGGATGGCGGATCCTTGGATACGAAGCCAATACCGCCCAATGGGACGACGGATCGCGCCGATCCTGCACGGAAATGGGACCCGTCGCTAATCCATGCGCCTTAATCCATGTTTGCGCTTCCTCGAGAGTGGGGCCCAGGCCCACGCCCAAAAGCACACGTTGTCCAAGACCGACAGCGTCCGCTGTTGGGCAGGCGAAGTCTGCTGAGAATGAACACCACCCGCGGCGACACACCGCAGCGGACCCCGCTAAAAGTGGACAAAAACTGATGTTGGCCTGATGGGTAACGGTGGTAACGGTAGAGCGACTGGCCAGTGGGGGGGGGGGGGGGGAAACAGCGACCAAGCATCGGCGAATCATCTCCGATAGATGCCCGACGGTCGGAATAAGTAGGTAGAAACATGAAGTAGGAAGGCGTTCAGAGTAGATGGGGTTCCGTCCGCCCCCTCAGGAGAAAGGAAGAGGGGAAGCCACTCGGTCACTGAAGTAGGAAAGCATTTTAAGAGTAGATTGGACCCTGGGCATCCAAGAACACCTACTCTCCACGACCCATCGGTAAACCGTCGACGGCGAGACCGCGCCCTCCTGGGCAGAGCGGAGCACCCAGGGCCCCGCGTCGGCGAGGACCGTGCGAGTGGGAGCTGCTGCTGCCCCCCCCCTTGGAGGAACCCGGAGACTGCACAGGCGCGCCACCTTCCGGAGCTCCTTCGCGCGCGGAGCGCGCCAGGGGCAACGCCCGAGGCGCCGCCATGGTCGGGGAGACGTAAGACCCGGGTACGGGGGACTCGGAAATCCCCGACGAGGTCGTCAAAAAAATGACGAGGCCGAGCCTGCATTTTGACGAGGCCTCCCGCTGCAGACATCCCACAAAACTCCTCCTCGTCAAAATCCGAGTCGCGGTCGTCAAAAAACAATGGCGAACCCGAGTCCTGGCAAACCCGGGTCTTACGCTCCCCCGACATGGGGGCGGGAGGCCCGCAGAAACTCGCGCGGAGCGCGACAGGTTGGAGGTTCTGTAGATTCCTTCGTGTTCGAGACCGCATGCTTCCCCCATTGGCCGGTGCCCCCGCGTCGGCGCCCCTGAAGGCCATCGTCCACGCTCTTCGCCTCCCCACCTCGATCCTCGGGACTTTCCCCAGGGACCGGATTTTCATCCCGAGCCGCTGCTGACGGCCTCGAGGCCCGGGGGACGGCCCCAGAGCCCGACGCGGCGGAAAAACTCCGGGGCCCTCTCCTTCCGGGCCGCTGCCCTCTCCTGTCGGAGCAGGGCGAGCTGAGACAACGGCAGCGGGAAGAAGTCGGCCCCCGAGCCCCTCCCGGGGCCTGAGCGCACCAGCTTTCCGAGCTGCGCGCAGCCGGGGCGGCCAACTGCCGTTTTGTCTCGACTCGCCCTCCTCGGGTCCCGGCACCCTCCTGTAGGGAAGCAGAGAATGACATACAGTCAAAAACCCTAACAAGGACGCGCGGTAAGGACGCGCAAGACCCTCGGAAGCCGAAGTGGGGATTTTTGGGGCGGCGGACGACGAAAACCTCGAGGACGCAAGAGGAAGGAAGAGCAAGGACGCAAGGGTACCCTGAGCAAAATCGCGCGTCCTTATTATGGTTTTGACTGTAAAAAAACAAAACAAAACAAAAAAAAAAAAAAAAAAAAAAAAAAAAAAAAAAAAAAAAAAAAAAAAAAAAAAAACACGGAGGTCCGTGCGGATGTCTCGGATCGGCGCTGGATACCCCTCCCTGGCGCGCGGAGCGCGTCAGGGGTGGCGCCGGAGGCGCCGCCGCGTGGGCCCAGCGAGGACCCTAGAAAGCCGCAGCGACAAAAGTGTATGTGGATGGCGCGATTCTTATTCTGGCAGTCGTCCAGCTGGAATCCCTGCCCCAGGCGACTCGGGGATGGACAGACCCCCCTTTAGTAAAACGTGGTTTAGTGAAAACGACCTGAGGCCCAAACCTGGAGGGTGCGAGCCTGGAAAAAAACGGCCACGGCGCCCTCTCGAGAACCGAAAACGGACAATTCACTAATCGACGTGTCACTGTTGGGGGTTCTGTCCACCCCCGACTGCTGTAGGGAAGCAGAGAATGACATAAACATACAAACTCGGAGGTCCGTGCGGATTTCTCGGATCGGCGCTGGACCCCCCCTCCCTGGCGCGCGGAGCGCGTCAGGGGCGGCGCCGGAGGCGCCGCCGGGGGGGGCCCAGCGAGGACCCAAGGAAGCCGCGCGGAGCGCCAAAAGTGTATGTGGATGGCGCGATTCTTCTTCTGGCAGTCGTGCAGCTGGAATCCCTTCCCCAGGCGACGACCCTCCCGAAGACAGCTGCGACTGGGGCCACACCGCGCCCAGAGAGCGCACGCCTGGGGGCCCTGGGCGGCCCGGGCGGGCCGGGCGCGGCCTTCGCAGTCGAAGATGCCCCAGCCCCGCTCGTGCTGAGAGCCGCGCTTCGTCGCTGCCGCGCCGCACGGCGCGGGGGAGGAGGAGGAGGAGGAGGAGGAGGAGGAGGAGGAGGAGGAGGAGGAGGAGGAGGAGGAGGAAGGAGGAGGAGGAGGAGGAGGAGGAGGAGAGGAGGGGGAGGGAGGGGGGAGGAGGAGGAGGGGGAGGGGGAGGAGGAGGAGGAGGAGGAGGAGGAGGAGGAGGAGGAGGAGGAGGAGGAGGAGGAGGAGGAGGAGAAGGAGGAGGAGGAGGAGGAGAAGCACTCCCCCCTGGGACTCCCCCCCCTTGGGAAGGAAGACCGGATCGGAGTTCCCGAGTCCATGCTGATCGATTCGATGCGTCCGCGCCCGCGCCGCACGGGGCCCCCCGTTGGGTGGCCGCGCCAGGCTGGCCGCCGGCGCGCCGCATCGGAACGCGCGTCGGATCGGGCCGCATCGGCAAGGGGTCGCGATCGACTCGGGTCGGCTGCACCAGGAGAGACTGCGCAGCGCCACGCAGGCGCTGCGGGCCGCCTCGGATCTCCAGGAGATCGAACATCGAATCGCATCGCATCGGCCGAAGTCGACATCGGATCGGATCGATCGCATCGGCGTGGGCCCTGAAGGCCGGGCAGAAAACAGCTCCACCCCGCTCTCCGAGAATCTGGGCGGCCTAGGGGGGCCACATGCAAACCCTACCCCTACCCCCCAAGTTTTCTGCGGGAGAGGGTGGGGTTCACTTCGCTCGGGAACTCCCGAGCGAAGTGAACCCCACCCTCCCCGTCAGAAATCGTGGGGGGTAGGGGTAGGGTTCGCATAAAGCTAGCCAGCTCGAGCGAGTCAAGCATGGCATGCCCATTCCCACCCGCCCTCCCACAACATAAGGAACAGTGATGGCACAACTGGGGGTTGCGCGGGCATTTCAGTACGAGTGGAGGATACCCCAGGACACCGCATTGACGTCCGCGCGGGATGTGCGCCGCGTCCCATTCCCGCCACGCATTTCGCAACGTCGACGACAAGACTGGTCATGTTGAAAGGAACAACGGACACGTTCCGCCCTCCCACGACATAAGGAACAATGCTGGCGCAACTGGGTGCTGGCGCGTAGTAGTAGTAGCAGTAGCAGTAGCAGTAGCAGTAGTAGTAGTAGTAGTAGTAGTAGTAGTAGTAGTAGTGGTAGTAGTAGTAGTAGTAGTAGTAGTAGTAGTAGTAGTAGTAGTAGTAGTAGTAGTAGTAGTAGTAGTAGTAGTAGTAGTAGTAGTAGTAGTAGTAGTAGTAGTAGTAGTAGTAGTAGTAGTAGTAGTAGTAGTAGTAGTAGTAGTAGTAGTAGTAGTAGTAGTAGTAGTAGTAGTAGTAGTAGTAGTAGTAGTAGTAGTAGTAGTAGTAGTAGTAGTAGTAGTAGTAGTAGTAGTAGTAGTAGTAGTAGTAGTAGTAGTAGTAGTAGTAGTAGTAGTAGTAGTAGTAGTAGTAGTAGTAGTAGTAGTAGTAGTAGTAGTAGTAGTAGTAGTAGTAGTAGCCCTGAGTCGCCGAAAGATCGTTCCAAGACGCCCAAGATGGCCTCCAGACGGCCGTAGCGCCAAGAAACCGCGGGGAGACTCAGGAGGCCCTCCAAGAGCCTGAACAAGCAAAAACCTCCCAGGCATTCGTCACCCCAGGGCCTCCTGGAACGCCCTGGCGCCCAATGAATTGGCGAGCTAAAAACGTGCGCCGAGCCAAAGCGGGAGCGCAACTTTGAGAAAATTTCGCTCGGCGCCCAAGCGAGAGGGTCATTTCATTCACTTCGAGCGGGGGGGGGTGCCGCGCCCAATTCTTGCCATGAATTTTTGCGGGGTGGACGACAAGAACAGCTAATTATGTGGGCAAGCGAAAATCAGCATGGCATTGCTTCTGACAAGTAAGGTGGCCCCTCCCGCCTTGGGGTTGCCCCAGAAGTCCGCGCGCGATGTGCGCCGCGCCCCATTCCTGCCACGCATTTCGCATCGTCGACGACAAGACAAGCCATGATGAAAGGAAAAACGGCAACTCTGCATTGTTTTTTACAGTCAGGATGGGAGGGCCCGCAGCCCGCATGGACGTCCGCGCGCGATGCGCGCCGCGTCCCATTCCTGCCACATATTTCGCACCGTCGGCGACAAGGCAGGCCATGCTGAGAGGAAAAAACGGAGGCTTCGTATTGATTTTTTACAATCAGGATGGGCGGGCCCGGATCGACGGCCGCGCGCGATGTGCGCCGCGTCCCATATGTGCTGAGATGAAACATCGAAGACTTTGTATTGATTTTTTACACTCAGGATGGGCGGGCCCAGATTGACTGCCGCGCGCGATGTGCGCCGCGTCCCATTCCTGCCACGCTTTTCGCATCGTCGACGACAAGAAAGACGATGTTGAGAAGAAAAACGGCCACTTTGCATTGATTTTTTACAGTCCGGATGGGAGGTCCCGGATTGGGCCGCTATCGGCCGGAATACGAGGTAGGTGGGGGTATATAATAATAATAATAATAATAATAATAATAATAAGGAACAAGGATGTGGCCCCCTAAAAGGATCGATGCTCCTCAGCTCGGGGGCGGCCAAGAGGGGGGCGTCCTCGAGGGGGGGCGCAACCCGTGGCCAGCGGCGCACGCGCGGCGGCCCAGCGGGGGGGCCAGGAAGGTGAGGAATAAGGAGAGGCGCCACGAGGTCGCCCACGCCACGATAAGGAAGGTGAGGACTGAGGAAGGTAAGAACTAAGGAAGGCAAGGAATAAGAAGAGGGGCCAGGAAGGTGAGGAGTCAGGAGTAAGGAGCAGGAGGGTAAGGAACAAGGAGTAGGTGGGGGGTAGGGGTGGGGCTCGCATGTGGCCCCCCCGCTCTCCGAGAAGCTGGGCGGCCCGTGCTCCCCGGAGCGGGCCCCGCCGGCCCCCCGCGCGCCCCGCCCCGCGCTCCCCGCCTCTGCCCCCCCGCCCCCCGCGCGCGCGCGCGCTCGGCCCGCGGGGGGGTGCAGCACGGCGGGCCCGCGGGGGGGGTGCAGTGGGAAGCACAGGGACATACTACTACTATATGTCCTCCTTGGAGGCGCGCGTCCGACCCGAGCATATAGTATACCCGTCTTGTAGTATATCGTTTCCCGAGCGGTGTGGCCAGAAAGCGCCCGCCACGACGCATGTACTATGAGATTTCTCGGTGCGCGCGTCGCCCCTGGGGGGGCGACGCACACATAGTAGAAGTATGTTGGGGTGATGCCGAACCCCCACCCCCCACGATTTCTGAGAGGGGGAGGGGGGGGGGTTCACCTCGCTCGGGAGCTCCGGAGCGAGGTGAACCCCACATTGCCCCCCTCAGACGTCGTGGGGGGCTGGGGTAGGGCTCGCGGGTGGCCCCCTAGATTGGAGACGGGTCGGATCGCCAGCGCATCGTCCCGAAGCGGATCGAGACCGCACCGCCACGCCCGCCTGTGGCTGGCCCCGGCCGATGCCGGCGAGTCTCGAGCCGAGTCGGATCGCGACCGTGGCCGGCGCTTCGGATCGCATCGAAGTGGATCGCAGGGGGGCCCTGGCTGGGCAGGCTCAGAAGGTAATAATCGGCCCAGGAAAGGATCCGCCACCGTGCCTCTGGCACGAAGTGGAGTGCCCCGAAGGACCCAAGGAGCACTGAGAAATGGGGGCAACGCTGCTGCGGCAGCCAGGAATGTACGTCTTTAGGGGCCCGGACCTCCCCAGGTCGTCTTGGGCCGTCCTGGGCCGTCCTGGACCGTGCCGGGGTTTCCCGGGCTGGCTCCCGTGAATTCTGGGGTGCTTCCTGAGGGTCCTCTGGACGCTGTGACCACCCAAAACGGTCGAAGAGAGCCCCGAGTCGCCGAAACTTCGCTCAAACACGCTGCTCATGGCCTCCAGATGGCCCAAAACGATTCCAAGACGCCCCAAAGAGGCCCCCAAGAGGCCTCCAAAGAGGGCCCCAAAGAGGGCCCCAAGAGGCCAAAAGAATTGCTGTTCCCTTGGTTCTTGAAACATTGGGGCGTTCTCGCCTTTTCGGCCTCCGACGCTCCCAGACGGTCCAAAGAGGCCCCCAAGACCGCCCAAAACGGCCCAAGAGAGCCCCAAGACGGCGCCAACAGGGGCCCAAAAGAGGGAAGACGAAACGAACGTCAAAGCCTTCCGCCCCAAGAGGCTTCCAGCAGGCCCAAAGAAGCGCTCTTCAGGCCCCAAGAGGCCCCCAAGAGGCCCCCTCAGAGGCCCCAGGAGGCCCCCAAGAGGCCCAAAAGAGGCCCTGTGAAGGCCAACAGAGGTCCCCCAAGAGAGGTCCACACTGCCTCCAAAGAGGCCCCCGGAGAAGCCTCCCATGGGATCCCGACGAACATCAGGCACGGTGGCGAGATGGGCCGAAGGCCGTTAGATCATAGGCACCGTTAGGCCTGGCCCCATCCCCATCCTCCAGGAAGGCCCGAAAGCTCGGAGACCACCTGGTCCGATGGCTCGCCCGACTCCGTGCTCCCCGAAGGCTTTCGAAACCCACTCGGGGAACGCGTGGCCCGACAGCTTGGCCAAGCTCAACACACAACTTTCGGCCACGGTGGCGGCGGTGATTCGCCGCAGGCGTCTTCGGATCATCGGCACCGTTTGGCCTGGCCCCCTCCCCTCTGGAGAAGCCTTCGCCCCGCTGTCCGACGGCGCCCCCCCAGAGTGTGGGGGCAGGCGCCCTCTCCGTCGGGCCTCGCCTCGTCCGCCCACGCCTCGAACGGGGGCAGGCCGGTGGCGCTGAGGAGCCCTGGCCCCAGAGGAAGGGGATGGGTCTGGCGATGCTGAGAGATCGGCGGCGCGCAGCGTGGGCAGGGGGAGAGGGGAAGGCTTCTGAGAAGCAGGCTGCTCCTTAGAGAGCACCGGCCCTACGCCTATCAGGAAGGCCCGCGCCGTCCGAGAAGCAGGGTGCTCCTACGAAGCCTTCCCCCCCCCCCTAACTCCACCCCTGCTATTGGCCGATGAGAAGGGGCAGGGTGGGATGCACAGATGCAGAGATGCGGGGTCGCCCGCGCCCAGGCCCCCGAAAAGGAGCCAGAGGGGGAGGAGGGATACATGGGGGCCCGGAGAAGATGCCGCACGGAACGCCGCAGCGAAGAGGCCAGCGATGACCCGGGGCCTCTTGCAGTTGGGGGCGGCCCCGCCAGGGGTGGCCCATGGGGCGGCGTTCACCCAGCCAGCTGGCAGAGTCTGATGGAGAGCTCCAGACTCGATAAGAAAAAAAAAAAAAAAAAAAAAAAACGTGGCCACCCATCCCGACGAGACCTCGCCAGCCCTGTGGGCGGAGCTGCCTTGGTGCACTCCTCCCTCCGACGCCTGATTGCCCTTCGGGCGCGCCGCCCACACGGCCGCTGCTTCTTTCCCCGAAGCCCGGGTCGCTGCCGCGACGGCCGCGCGCGAAAAATACAGCAACCAGCCCGAACACCCCGAGGTGACCCCCAAGCTGGCGCACGAGAGGGCAAGCCGGACCCACATTGCGTCCAACACGCCTCCAAGAGGCCACACGGTGCCTCCAAAAAGGCTCCGAGTCGTGAGGGCCTCCGAACTGAGCCCCCGCACCGCAGCCGCTCGGCTCCTCGGCCCTTCAGACCGGAGCCCTGCGCGCCACCACGCAGCACCCAGACAGGCTGTGCTGTCCGTCGACAGGGGGAGAGGAAGGGAAACGCCGGCAGACGACGACGAACGCACAGGCGGGAGGCCGAGGCCGGCGGGGCGGGCGGGCGGGCGGGAGAGGGGGATCCGTGCAGAGCCTGGGCGCCTTCGGCCAAACCTGTGGCTTCGAAGGATGACACCGGGCCTGCAGCAGAGGCTCCAGCAATGAACACTGGGGTGCAAGCCTGCGCCTGGTCCCGCACGTTCCGCCCGCTCCTCGCACCCGGATCGCGGCGGCAAGCCCAGCGACCAACTCCCCCCCCTGGCCATCGCTCGGACGTCCATTCCCTGTGTTTTTTTCGGTTTCGTGCGTGGTTTTTTCGTTGGATGCTCCTCGATGGTCCTCACCGACAGAAACATGCACACGTCCGAGCGGTGCCAAGCCCCGAGCTGGCTGCACGCAGGAGTGGCCCCAGCCGAGAGTGCCCTCTCGTGAGCTGCTTCCCGATCCTTGCGCGTGGTGCGGCAGCGGCGGCCTGCGTGCTTGGGTCTGCACCCCACCCCACCCCGCATCCCCCGAACACCGCGCACCAGAGGTCACTCCAGCGAAGGGTCACGCTCGGGGATTGACAGACCACCCTTTAGTAAAACGTGGTTTAGTGAAAACGACCTGAGGCCCAAACCTGGCGGGCGCGAGCCTGGAAAATAACGGCCGCGGCGCCCTCTCGAGAACCGAAAAAGGACAATTCACTGATCGACGTGTCACTGTTGGGGGTTCTGTCCACCCCCGAATGGACCCTGGTGACTTCCGGGCCATGCAAAGGGCCTACGGCGATGCTTCGGGACGGCTCTGCCGACCCCCAACAAAAAACTCTCGGCGAGGCGCAGCTGCTGAAAAGCACCCCAGGCTGGAAAATCTCTGGAAACCGACGAAAACACCCGAAGACCTCTGAAATGGAGCAGACCCGAGGGTTTGTTTTAGCTTCCTGGAGCCACTCGCTCCACTTATACATCGATGCTGCATCGAACGTCCATCAACTTGACTCGAACTTGAGTCGAACTAGATTCGAGTTAGAACCGAACAGATCCAATAGGTGGCCTCCAGGAAGCTTCTCAAAACGAGTACCTAACTTGTTGAGTCACGCAAACATCCCAGGGCAAGCGGCGTCCTGCAACCTGAGCAGGTCGCCCTCCGGACCCTCGGGGCGGACGAGGACGAAGCAGAAGAGGGTGTCCGGCCAGGCCTTCAGCGCGAGCAAGGGCACCTTCGAGGGGCCACAGAACAGCTGCAGGGAGCCCCGCGGTCCAGGCAGCCACAATCGGCAGGAGGAGGAGGGGGCAGAGCAGTGACGCTTCAAGCGACGCGCGCCTCGCAGCATGCCTGAGAGAAAAGAAGAGCGGGAGGGGATCATAACGGCATATACACAGAAACTTCCAAAGCTCCGCGCGGATCTCTTGGGTCGGCGCTGGGCCCCCCCCCTCGCCTGGCGCGAAGAGCGCGCTGGGCGCGGCGCCGCCGACGTGCCCCCCGAAGGGGCGGCCGCCCTGAGTATCGCTCAACCGATCCCCATCCTCACCAGCGTGGGCTGGGCCCCACTGGCCGATTTACTCCCCCGGATGGGAATGTGGGCCGTCATGATCCTCGGGGCTTCGAGGGGTGTATCCCGCAACTGGGGGTTTAATTTGGGAGGGGGGTCTCGAAGGGGATGAGCATGGGGATGGGGATGGGGATCGGTTCAACGATGCGGACTCCCAGGGGCCTCCCAGTGAGCCTCCCAGGGGCGCGCCGGGGGCACCGCCCGAGCTGTGGCGCCGCCAAAGCGCCCGGCGGCCCGACCCTCCCTGGGCTAATACCCCGGAGGATGCCCCCCCCTCGGGCTCCGGTGCCATCGCAGGAGGGTCGCTCGTGGATCGCTGCCCCCCCACTTTAACAGGCGAAGAACGGTATAAAATAAACTTTTTCGCTGTCGGGGGCGCCTGTCCCAGGGCGGCTGGAAAGGTTATACCCTTACGGTGGCACCGTAGGGGTATAAACTTTCCAGCCGCCCAGGGGCAGGTGTCCCCGACGGCGAAAAAGTTTATTTTGTACCGTTCTTCGCCCGCTGACACTCACACTCACTCGTGGCGGCTGGCGGGCACTTCCTGCACCCAGCGGCCCTCTCCTGCAGTGCCGCACGGCGCTGCGAGGGGGGGGGGGCCGTTCTGAGAAGGGGCCGAGATCCGCGGGAGGGGCCGGCGAGGCACGAGGGGGGAGAAGCGGACGGGGGCCCGGAAGAAGAGGTCGAAGGGGGGCACGAACGGCGGTCCGAACGAAGGTCGCTCCCCCCCCCCTTCCTCTTCCCAGGGCGGCGCGCGGAGCGCGCCAGGGGCGGCGCCGCCAGGCCCAAGAGTCCCCGCGAGGCTCCGAAACATGACGCGCATGTCGCCTATTTGTATGTTTTTTGTTGTGATTCTTGTGAGTATTGCCAATAATCCGCCGACCCCAGAGGCGCGTGAGGGAAAGCGCTTCTTGGATCCGCCTATCCTGAGCCTATCCCCCCCTATTCACTCCCCCAACGCCCCCCTCTTGGCTCAGCCCCCCCGCCCCCACCACGTCCCGACACCTCCGCTCCACGGCAGCTCTAGTTTTGGCATTATCCTTCCCATTATCTCTCGCCCGAACCTACCGAGGCCCCCCCCTCGCCACCACCACGTCCCGACACCCCAATCCCATGGCAATTTTGTTCAAAGAACCCCTAACCAACAATTTCTCGCCCAAAACAGACCGATGCCCCCCTCCTGGCCCCGGCATCCCACGGAACCTCTGTTATTGGAGCCCCCACACCCCACAATTACTCACCCAAAAACCGACAAATCCGCCGACCCTGTCGGCGTGTGTGAGTGGCTTCTCCGTTCGACTCGTCGTCTCAGTCGTCTCCGTTCTCCCACTCCCAGGGCTCTCCTCCTCAAGCGCGCTATCCGAAGCGAAATTGAACGACGTCGTAGTGGAGTCGAAGGGAAGCCCGTTCCCTTTGATCCCTTCCCCGCAAAGGGGGGGGTGGGGGCAGGAGGGGTGGGGGGGGGGAAGGGGGGAGCGGGGTGCGGGGGGGGGAGGCAGATTAGTTTTTCCTCGGGCGGCCTCGAAACATCGAAAACACTCCAAATGAGGTCCGGATGCCCAAAATGGCCCCCGAAACGGCCCAAGAGTGCCCCGAGTCGCCCAAAGATCGGCCGAAAACGCCCAAGATAGCCCCAAGACCGTCCCAGAAGCCTCCAAGACCTCCTCCTCCTCCTCCTCCTCCTCCTCCTCCTCCTCCTCCTCCTCCTCCTCCTCCTCCTCCTCCTCCTCCTCCTCCTCCTCCGTTTCCTCCCCCACCCCTAGCCCTTTCGATCAGGGTCGGCGGCACCGGCCGTCAGGCCTCTCCAATACCACCCACCGGGCCCCGGCACCCCCACCCCACGGAACCTCTGTTTTCAGGGCACCCCACCCTGCAATTTCTCACCCAAAACCAACCGATGCCCCCCTCCTGGCCCGGGCACCCCACGGAACCTCATTTGAAGGGGCCGCCCACCCAAAATTTCTCACCAAAAACCGACAAGTACCCCCCTCCAGGCCCCCCACCTCACGGAACCTTTGTTTTTGGGGCCCCCCACCCCGCAATTTCTATACCCAAACCGACCCTCCTGGCCCCGGCATCCCCACCCCATGGAACCTCTGTTCTTGGGGCCCCCCACCTGGCCAGCCACCCCACAACTACTCGCCCCAAACCGACCGATGTCCCCCTCCTGGCCCCGGCATCCCCGCCCACGGAACCTCTGCTTTTGGGCCCCCCACCCCACAATTTCTCGCCCCAAACCGACCGATGCCCCCTTCCTGGCACCGGCATGCCCTCCCCACAGAACCTGTGTCCTTGGGACCCCCCACCCCGCCATGTCTCGCCCAAAACCGACCGGCGCCCCCCTCCTGGTTCCGGCATACCCGCCCCGCGGAGCCTCCGTTCTGGGCCGCCCCCGCCCCACAAAATTCTTCCCCTAAAACCGACCAACACCCCCCTCCTGGCCCTGGCACCCCCACCGACACCCCCACCCCACGGAACCTCTGCTCTCGGAGCACCCCACACTCAATTTCTCACCCTAAACCAACAAATACCCCCCTCCTGGCCCCGGCACCCCAACCCCACGGAACCTCTGTTCTCGGAACCCCCCACCCCGCACTTTCTCGCCCCAAACCGACCGATACCCCCCTCCTGGCCCCCGTACCCCCACCCTACGGAATCTCTGTTCTTAGGAGCCCCCCACCCGCACTATCTCGCCAAACAAAGCTACCGACGCTGCCCTCCTGGCCCCGGCACCCCCACCCAACGGAACCTCTGTTCTCGGGGCACCCCACCCTGCAATTTCCCCCCCAAAACCGACCGATACCCCCCTCCTGGCCCTGGCATCCCCACCCCGCAGAAACTCTGTCCTTGGGGCCCCCCTCCCCACAACTGTTCGCCCAAACCCGACCGATACCCTCCTTCTGGCCCCTGCGCCCCCGCCCCGCGGAACCTCTGTTCTTGGAGCCCCCCACCTCATAACTTCTCGCCAAAAACCTGCCGATATACCCCTCTCCTGGCACCGGCACCCCCACCACGGAACCTGTTTTTGGGGGCCCCCACCCCGCCATTTCTCACCCCAAACCGACCGATGTCCCCCTCCTGGCCCCAGCACCCCCACCCCGCGGAACCTCTGTTCTCGGGGCCGCCCACCCCACCATTCACTCGCCCAAAACAAACCGATGCCCCCCTCCTGGCCCTGGCATCCCCACCCCACGGAACCTTTGCTCTCGGGGCACCATACACCTCAATTTCTCGCCCAGAACAAACCAATGCCCCCCTCCTGGCCCCAGGACCCCCACCCCACAGAACCTCTGCTCCTGGGACCCCCCACCCTACAATTTCCCCCTCCACAACCGACCGATGCCCCCCTCTTGCCCCCCCCACCCCCACCCCACGGAACCTCTGTTCTTGGGGCCCCCCACCCGACAATTTCTCACGCAAAACCGACCGATGCCTCCCTCCTGGCCGCGTCAACCCCACCCCAGGGAACCTCTGTTCTTGGGGCCCCCGACCCAACAGTGTCGCACCCAAAACCAACCGATGCCCTCCACCTAGCCCCGGCATCCCCACCCCACGCGCGGAACCTCTGGTCTCGGTGCACCAACCTACAATTTCTCGCGCAAAACTGACCGACACCACCTTCCCGGCCCCAGCGGAACCTATTCCCGGGGCACCCCAACCCACAATCTCCCCAAAAACCGACCGATGCCCACCTCGTGGCCCCCCACCCCGCGGAACCTCTGCTCCCGGACCCCCCCCCCAACCTACAATTTCTCGCGCAACCGACTGATGCCCACATCTCGGTTCTTGCACGCACAATTTCTCACCCAAAACCAACCGACGCCCCCCCCCCTGGCCCCAGCACCCCCGCCCCACGGAAACCTTTGTTCTCGGGGCGCCCCACCCCGCAACTTCTCATCAAAAACCGACCGACGCCGCCCTCCTGGCCCCAGCACCCCCACCCCACGGACGGAGTCGTTGTTTTTGAGGCTATCGCACAATTCTCTCCCTAATCCGACCGATACCCCCCCTCCTGGCCCCCGCGCCCCCACCCCGCGGAACCTTTTTCCTTGGGCCCCTGGCCCCGGCACCCCCACCCCACGGAACGCCCGACCACAATTTCGCACCCAAAACCGACCGATGCCCCCCCAGCTGGCCCCGGCACCCTCGCCCCACAGAACCTCTGTTCTCGTGGCCACCCACCCCAAAATTTCTCCCAAAACAGACCGACACCACCCTCACGCCCCCGGCATGCCCACCCCACCGAACCTTTGTTCATGGAGCCCCCCACCCCATCGCACATTCTCGCCCAACAAAGGCCCCGGCATCCCCACCTCACGGAACCTTTGTTCTTGGGCCCTCCCACCCCATAATTATTCTGGCCCAAAACCGACCGATGCCCCCCTCCTGGCCTCGGCACTCCCACCCCACCGAACCTCTGCTCCCGCCCCCCCCCCCACCACCCAACAATTGCTCCCGCAAAACCGACTGATGCCCCCCTCCTGGCCCCGGCACCCCCACCCTATGGAACATATGTTCTCGGGCCCCCCCACCCCCGCAATTTCGCATCCAAAACCGACCGACGCCACCCTCCTGGCCCCGGCACCCCCACCCCACGGAACTTCTGTTCTTGGGGCCCCCCACCCCACAATTTTTCACCCAAAACCGACCGACGCCCCCCCCCCCCC